AGTTTTGTGTGATTTTTCTTCAATACACTAAAAAAGTCATTTAAATGATCTGTGTTTGTTTTGTTTTGATTTTAGTTAATCCAGATTGGAAAAATGAAGAAAGTGTTTTATCTGACTTGATATGTATGGCAATTGTTGGAATTGAGGACCCTATTAGAAAAGAGGTATTGATTGATATAACTGTTGTTATTGTATAACTTTAACAGAGTTTGTTCAAAATAAATCATTTCATTTAAAATGCACATTTGTACCCAAAAGAATATGCATGTCTGAGTTATTGGTTTGCTCAATCAATCAATATGCATAATGTCTAAATTGTTTCTTCAATAAAATAAAACATAAATAAAAACATAGTGATAGTTTAATAGGACATGGTAAATTAGTAGAATAATAGTAAGCTAATGTAAGCATAGTTGCTTAATAATTTTACATAATAAATACAAAATAAAGTATTTTAAAAACATATTTAATATAATTGTATTTTTTAATTGTCTTTTTAAATGGCTTAGCAAGTTTTTTTAATGTAATATTTTAACATTGTTTGTGTTCAATGGCTTATAAATTCTTTGAACCAAGGACTTATGCAACACTTTTGCTTTTTTACTTATGTTTTTTGCTGTACTGCTAGACGTCAAACCTGTTTACTATATTTTCATATTGTAATGGTAAGATTAATGTCTACTCATCAAACTGTCCAAGGAGGAGGTTAATCACACCAAGATCCTTGTAACTTTGAAAAAAAACTTTAAATCATAACTCAATAGTTTTGTTCATACTTCTAGCTAAAGACCATAAATAAACCATGAACAAATTTGTTAAACTTTTTCATTTCATCAATCTTTCTCATTCTCATTGTTTTCAAGAGAGGGTATAGTTCAAAATACTTTATCAACTTAAATTTGCCAAAACTTTAAAAAGAATCTTTAATTTCTCTATAGGTTTTTTCTTCAAATGTTTTTTCGTGGTAATCTTTGTATTTTTTCATTCTTTTTCCAAGAAGTCCAAGAAATGAATACAGTTTATAGTGATCATTCAAAGGTTGAAATGCTCTTTGCTCTTTGAAAAATAGTTCAGAAGATCTTTTATATCAAACGTAGAGATGTTTTTTTCCATGAGCCTACATAAATAAATCTAAATAAAAATTCAATTTATAAATATATGTATGCATATATTTATAATTGAAAATACTATTTATGTTTTCAAAAAGACAATTTTTAAAATGTTTATATTTTTAAATGTAGTTAAAAAAATATTGCTCCTCACTGTGACACAGACATCACCTTTGTTTTTTTTCTTGAAAGTTTAATGACTCAGTGACATAAAAGTTTAATGTTTCAGTGACATAAAAGTTGGAAAAGTAGTTAAATTACATGGCTTTCTCCATGTTTGACTCAAACTTGACACCACTTCTTCTAGTTTTTAATAATTCATTAGACCTGAACTAAGTTTTTAGGTATTCACCAAAGCTTCTAACTCATTATAAAGAATCATTCTCTGATAACTTTCTAGAGTACAAAACGTAACATTACAAATAAAATATAATCACATTAAAATGTAGACAGTTCAGTAGGTATCTACAAAAAAATGTAATTATGTTAAAATGTAAGCAGATATGTATGAATCTGCAAAAAACAACATAATCACATTATAATGTAGATAAATACACATATCTTCAAAAAAAAAAAAAAAAAAAAAACATTAAAAAGTAGACAGTTATGTATAAATCTGCAAAAAAAACATAGTTACATTAAAATAGAAGACAGATATGTATGAATCTGCAAAAAACAACATAATCACATTATAATATAGTTATTTACAATTTTTTTTAATGGAAAAGCCATAAAAATTTTCATATTTATTTTTAAGGTTCCATCAGCTATCAAAAAATGTCAAAAGGCAGGAATAACTGTTCGAATGATAACAGGAGATAACATAAGTACAGCTCAATCAATAGCACTAAAATGTGGTATTCTTGAACCAAACAGCACTTTTTTGGTCATCGAAGGAAGAGAATTTAATTCAAAAATTCGTGATGAAAAGGGACAGGTTGTTCTATTAAACTAATAAGTTTGCCTTATTTAATAATCAATCAGATAGCATAAATAGTTTATAAAGATATTATAAAATAATGAAATAAAGATATCACAAAAAGAAAAGATATTTATGAAAAATAGTAATATTATAAAAGTTAAATTGGATACAAATAAATTTATTAAAGAGAAATCAAAAAATTATAGTGTTGCAGATAAAAAATGATTTTATATAAAATATGTACTAACATGTAATCATTGATTTGTACCCATAGATTCAACAAAAATTGATTGATGATTTATGGCCAAGAATTCGGGTAATGGCAAGGTCATCGCCAGAAGATAAGTACAACTTAGTAAAAGGAATGATTGATAGTAAGTTAAACAACTTTGGCGAGGTTGTTGCTGTTACTGGGGATGGTACTAATGATGCTCCAGCTCTTAAAATAGCTGATGTAGGATTTGCAATGGTACATTTGATTTGATATAAAATATTAAAAAAATTTTTTTGTTGTTTTAGTTAAAGTTTTATGTGAATTCAATTCAAAATAAAATAGAAACTTTTTTTTATTGATACATTTCAAGTTACCAACAGTTTCATGAAAAGTAAGTCAGGTTTAAATAAGTTAAGACTTTGTGCTAGGGCTTGGAAACTTGTGTAAATCAGAACCAGTTCGAACTTATTTTTTGTTTATATTTCCCGAAATTGAAAATTAGTTTTTTTTCTTCTTGAAAATTGCAAATATTTTTTATTAATTACACATTTTGTTTTATCATCAACTTTAAATTGACTATCATGCAGCAAAGGCCTTTGGAAACCTAAAGTTTGGTTCCACTTATTTGCCAATAACGTGATTTTAAGATTTTGTTAAGAAGTGTATTAAAAATTTTGTTTATAAGTACAATAGTAGTTAAAACATCAAGATACAATTATGCATTTTACTTGTATCTTTTTTTTTTATCAATATTAGAAGTTTTTTTGTCAATTGAGGTGTTTTTAGAGTTTATAATTTCATCCATTCTAATTAAAGACCACATATAATCTCCCATTAAAAGTAATATTCCTTCATCCTTGATATCTTCTTTTTGTCATTGTTGTATTATGTATTATGAGAAAGTACAATCAGAATCAATCAGCAACAGTCATATTTGCAAAAAAGTAGCAGCTTAGATGCTGTCTGACTAAGATATTGAAGAAGACAATCCTAAAGATGAAGATATTTTATTGTAATTCTACTGTTGCCACAATTATCTACATCAAATTTTAGGACGCTCACTACTCAACAGAAGATCTCAGCAAATTTTATCGAATTGTCTCTAAAAGAACTGAAATTTTCAGTTGTGCATATTTGAGTGTGCCAAAAATTAATGAACAAAAATGTAATCATGTTCACATTGCATTACTTATCAAAATACAAAGTCAAAATGGTTTAACAGGTATCATAGAAGTAAATACTGTTTTCAGATGTAAAGTAAATTATTATTTCAGAGTAATTCCGATTCAGACAAAAATAACAAAGGCAAATCATTCAAAAAAGTTTTCCTAGTAGGAAATGTATCTTAAAGAAGCATCATATCTAAACCTTAAAATGGTCAATGCTAAAAGGTAAATAAACAAGATAACATTGCTACAATAAGTTTTTTCCCAGAAAAGAGTCTATTATGAATTTCTTCAGTGTTATTTTTGATATCAATGCCAGTAAATTGGTACTTGCCATTTCAAAATACATTGACAATTAGTGGTTTGAATACTGTATCGAAATTTTCAAAAAGCTGTGCAAAATAATAATTTTTCCATTGATTGCATCACACCGGCACAGTTAGACTGGAGTCAGAGAGTTTTTTTTTAAAAAACTACTATTAGTTGTCAAGAGGCAAGGGTTACTGTCAAATTAGGACAATAGTAAAGAATGACAGCTGTTCTATTTAAAGTCATTGAGACGCTTCATTGATAGTTGGAGAAATGAACTTTTTCTTTAAAATTCTGGATGAAGCTATCTAGCCTCAACAAAGGGATAAATGCAAGATTTGACTCCTAATTTGCAAAAGTGGACAACCAATCATTGTTCATCAGTGGTTTTCACCACTAATGAACAATATTTTCCATACATATATATACAAGTTTAGGTATATATTTTTGTAATATATTTGTTTTTCAAGCTTTTTTACTTTTTTTTTTTTTTTTTTTTTTAACATCTTCGCTTCCAACAAGGCTGCAAGCAACCACTGATTAGTGTTGGAAGTTATTGGAAGAGAAAAGATGAAGATTGTAGAGCAAGATAACGATTGACAGATGATTTAAAAGATTGCAAATTATATGAATCAGGAAGCAAGATGAAGGAAGCGAATTCCAAAGAACTGATGTTAGAGGAAAAAAACTAGACGAGTAAGAGTTTTTGGAGCACTTAGGAAGGAACAGAATGAGACTTAATTGAATGACGAGTAACACGAGAATGAGTTTTAGTAGATGGCACAAGAGACGCTAGCTCTTTAGAGCAGTGCCCATTATAGTATTTATAGAAAAGAGAAAGAGAAGCAACATTACAACGATGTGACAGAGGTTGAAGGTTGGCTGCAAGAACAGGTCCAACTATGTTTACAATGTGTTTTTGCACCTTGTCTAAAAGAGAAAGAGCATCATTAGAAGATCCGTCCCAGATATGGCAACAGTATTCAATACAAGGCCGGATTTGAGATTTGTAGAGATAGAGAATAGAATCCAGATTAAGAAAGTGTCGAGCTCGATAAAGAGAAGCAACTTTAGCAGATGCTAATTTTGCAACAGATTTGATATAAGGTTTCCAAGAAAGATCAGAAGTAAGAGTTAATCCTAGAAGATGAAGGGTAGGAGACTCATCGAGTACATTATCGTTCATAAATATAGGAAGGTCTAAATTATTGCGATAACAATTGGCTAAAAAATTGAGTTTTATCTGAATTAAAGTTCACCAGCCACTGTGAGCCCCATGCTGTAGCATGATTCTTTTTAAGTTCAAATGCGAGATCCTTTTCAAGTTCAAATGCCCCCTGCAAGCAATCAGAGGAAGTTGGCTTCTTATCGTGATAAGAATAAATGGTAGTATCATCAGCAAACAATGCCACCTTAGATGCAAGAATATCTGGAAGATCGTTAATGTAAATTAATATAAGGCCAAGGATTGAACCTTGAGGAATCCCTGAGGTTACAGAATAAGAAGAATAGTGCTGTCCATTAAGGACAACTTTTAAACTACGATTGGAAAGGAAGGATTCAATAATCTTAAAGATGTTTCGAGAAGAAAGCTTATGGAGAAGACCAGCATGCCAAACTTTATCAAACGCTTTAGAAATGTCAAGAGCGATGGCCATAACCTCTCCACCTTTATCTAATGCACAAAAAAACCTATCGGTTATTACTGTTAGCAAATCAGCCGTAGAACGAGAAGATCGAAATCCATATTGATCAGAAAGTAAGTTATTAGATTCAAGATAAGAGATTAAGTGTTTGTTAATTAAAGATTCAAAAACCTTGCTCATGATAGGAAGAAGACTACTGGGACAGTAGTTAGACAAATCGAATCGCTCTCCAGAATTTTTAAAAATAGGGATAACAGATGCTGCTTTGCAGCAGGCTGGAAAACAACACTCTGATAAGCACTTGTTGAATAGTTTTGAAAGGATAGACGACAGCTCCGGAAAACACTTCTGCAAGACTATAACAGGTGTGTTGTCCTGGCCGCAAGCTGTAGAGGAGTCTAGACAGGAAATCACTTTAGATACAGAAGCTGGAAAGATATGGATGTCGACCAATAGATCAAACTGTTTGACGCCTATATCAGGTAGAACGCAACTAGTGGAATCAAGAGATAGTATTGATGAAAAGTTCTTAGCAAACAATTCAGCTTTGTCTTTAGGTGAAGTGACAAAGTCTGAACCATACATAAAAGGTGAAATTACAAACTTGTCCTTATTATTGATACTATTAAAGATTCTCCAGAAGTCACGAGAGCCTAATTTTTGTAATGAAATACGAGATTTTATGATCTGAGAATAGCGGGCTTTGACGTTAGACAAAACCTTTTTACAATGGTTTCTAGCAGTAATAAACAGACGTCTGTTTTCTGGAGAATTTTTTTGCTGATAAATATGGAAGTAATGGTTTTGTTTAGCAATTGCAGCAGCACAATGTGAGGAAAACCATGGAGAAGAGTGAGGCTTGACCTGGAATTGTCAAGAGGGAATAAAGGATTCCATGCCTGCCTGAATCCACAAAGTTATGTAAGAAGCACATTTGTCATTAGGAAGACGAAAGATTTCTACCCAAGGGTCATCACGAAGAAAATCACGGAAAGAGTCCTAGTCAGCTTTAAGGTAGTTGTAAGATGTACGATGATAGGGGGATTCTGATGATAAAGAAGAATGAGATAATAGTTTTAGAGAGACCAAACTATGATCGGAAGCACCTAAGGGTGAGTGTGGAGAAACTGAGCACTGACTAGGATCAGAAACAAGACATAAGTCGAGTAGAGAAGGTAAATGATTCGGGTTGTCTGGAAAGCGAGTTGGAAAGTTGACTATTTGAGTTAGGGATTGAGAAAGGCAAAAGTTGTGGGCTTTAATGCCTGCAGAGTCACTGACACTAGAGCTAAGCCATTCAGTGTGATCAACATTAAAGTCACCGAAAAAAAATACACTTATCGCTCATACAAAAATTAAGAAAATTTTGAAAAAAAATCATTAACAACTCAGCTAAAAAAAAAAATTAAAAGAAAATTAAGGGAAAATATATTCCAGATTTTTTCCATATATTTTACTCAAATAATTTTTAAAATATGATCTGGATGATCTATGTGTAGTCGATTTTTCTTTCACAGAAATTAGTGATTTTAACAAGAGGCAAAAATGGAAGTGGGAATGAAATGTTCCAGAAGTGAAACTGGAGAAAAGTTTTAACAAATTAAACAAATCGACAGAAAAAGAGTTCCTGAAATTTCATGTTTGAGAGCAACAACTACATTGGACATTCATCAGAAAAGAAGAGTTAAAATAAATGGTAAATTCAAAATGGTGGATTTCACAATCAAAGAATTCTTAAGTACAATAAAAATAAGTTTATTAAACTCATCAGATTGGATTTTCCAAATGTATAACTCAGGTCTTTGTTGTATATATATATTGGCATGTTATCTGTTTTATCATATTATGTTATATGTTTGTTTTTTTATATTAACACAATGTTACATCAACAAAAAAAATTTTTTTATCAAATTTTTTTTATATTTCTCATTTGTTTTAAATATGCTGAGTATGAATATGACATTGGTTTTTTATTACATCAACCATTTTATCATAAAATCAAAAAAATCAATTAAACTACTGATATTAATCGTTTTCCAGGAGATATACCTTTTGTGAGTAGATAACATTTACTTGTTCAAAAATGTTGTTATGTTACAAAACATAATACTACAGCATGTTACATACATATATT